CCCACCATCCCTGTGCTGAGTTCCCGGGTCTGTACACCCGCTGTGCCCATTATGAGGGGCTCCCACCATCCCTGTGCTGAGGTCCCGGGTCTGTACACCCGCTGTGCCCATTATGAGGGGCCCCCACCATCCCTGTGCTGAGTTCCCGGGTCTGTACACCCGCTGTGCCCATTATGAGGGGTTCCCAACCCTGAGATGAGTTCCCCAGTCTCTATACCTGCTGTGCCCATTATAAGATATTATATATATAAGAATTAGAAAAGTTGGGGTTGGCCCAGTGGACCGGGACTCACCTATAATTATATATCACTTTCCAATGGTCCATTTTGTTGCAACTATATTGTGGATAACAGACGGGGCCCAACACTGACCTTCCCATTGTCCATGCCTCACATCTTCACTTTGATAAAGAGCTATGAGGATCTTCAGCATACAACACACTTTTGGGCTCTAGAAGGTTCAGCTGATGAGCTTTATGAATCCTCACATGCCAATACATCATCTGTGACCAAGACTTGTATACAACCCCTCCATGTTCAACCTGATCAGCTTGATGTGCAATCATATTGTCCATTATTAGTGACCTCCTGTCATCCATCCATGATTGGTTGTACGTCTTTGGTACTCTTCCATTTATATGACTGTAATGTTTGGATTCAACTTTCCAGATCTATTCCCAATACCAAACATTACAGTAATCCCAAATCCAGCGACAGTACACAGTCACATGACCCTGACATGTGACACGAGTCTCAGCCCGCTCAGACCGGGGACACAACTCCAATTTGCTTTCTACAGAGATGGATGGAATGTTCAGGAATTCGGTTCCTCCAATCAATATGGAGTCCAGTCCGCTCTGCCGGGGGATTCTGGGAATTATTCCTGTGAAGTGAGAACTCCAACCTACAGTGTGAACAGGAGAAGTCAGAAGATATCCGTCCAGATCAAAGGTGAGCATGTAATAGTGGGGGGAGGGGGATCACAGTGCACGCAAGCAATATACTTGCCAGGGGCATGGGTGGGTGGGGTGAAGCTGATGATGTCAGGCTGCCATCTTCAACGATGACTATGCCTCTCTAATAAGGGTGCCCACCCACTGAAATCCACCACTTTTGGTCAATGTCTAAAGACACCTCTGATAGCCACAAAGAGCTAATTACATCGACCTCGAAAAGACCCCAAATCAGCCAGCACATGGAGAGAGGAACGGGGGCATGTCGGGGGCAGACAGCTACCTAGACTTGTGGGACAGACTAAGAAAAGGTTATTGGAAGGAGGAGTCTATTTATTTAATGTGGTTGATGTGTTTCCTGTTGCAGGCAGGCGGAGCCTATATCTCGATGGCTGTCCTCTCGATGGCTGTCCTGGAAGATTCCTGGAAACAGAGTTATCAGGTAATCAACTCATGTTTTTGTTTACTTTTCACCTATGTTTTTTCCTCTTCTCATCTACTTATCTTCTCTTCTACTTCTCTTCTACTTCTCTTCTACTTCTCTTCTCCTTCTCTTCTCCTTCTCTTCTCCTTCTCTTCTCCTTCTCTTCTACTTCTCTTCTCCTTCTCTTCTACTTCTCTTCTACTTCTCTTCTTCTTCTCTTCTACTTCTCTTCTTCTCCTCTACTTCTCTTCTACTTCTCTTCTACTTCTCTTCTCCTTCTCTTCTACTTCTCTTCTACTTCTCTTCTTCTTCTCTTCTACTTCTCTTCTTCTCTTCTACTTCTATTCTACTTCTCTTCTACTTCTCACTTCTCTTCTTCTTCTCTTCTACTTCTCTTCTACTTCTCTTCTACTTCTCTTCTTCTTCTCTTCTACTTCTCTTCTCCTTCTCTTCTTCTTTTCTTCTACTTCTCTTCTACTTCTCTTCTCCTTCTCTTCTACTTCTCTTCTACTTCTCTTCTTCTTCTCTTCTACTTCTCTTCTTCTCTTCTACTTCTATTCTACTTCTCTTCTACTTCTCACTTCTCTTCTTCTTCTCTTCTACTTCTCTTCTTCTTCTCTTCTACTTCTCTTCTTCTTCTCTTCTACTTCTCTTCTACTTCTCTTCTTCTTCTCTTCTACTTCTCTTCTACTTCTCTTCTTCTTCTCTTCTTCTTCTCTTCTACTTCTCTTCTTCTTCTCTTCTACTTCTCTTCTTCTCTTCTACTTCTCTTCTACTTCTCTTCTTCTCTTCTACTTCTCTTCTACTTCTCTTCTCCTTCTCTTCTACTTCTCTTCTCCTTCTCTTCTACTTCTCTTCTTCTCTTCCACTTCTCTTCTACTTCTCTTCTCCTTCTCTTCTACTTCTCTTCTACTTCTCTTCTCCTTCTCTTCTACTTCTCTTCTACTTCTCTTCTTCTTCTCTTCATGCGCAGAGGGTTGCTGAACACCTGTGGCCGCTGTTATTGATATGTTCCTTTATCTCTCTTCCCAACACGTGCAGATTATCCAAGCAACACCACTACGGCCATAGTCGCTGGTTTGGTCAGTACTACTCTCCTCATCATCCTTATATTAGGAATTGTCCTCGTCAAGAAGAAATTCACTTCTGATGAGAAAAGGCAAACAACGGGCCATCAAGAAGCAGGTACCTGATGATTCCATGTGATGGTTCCAGTAACATTGTATGAGCTGTGAGATCTGTGAAAGGTACATGTAGCCTAATGTAGCAATGTATACAATATGTTTTCTGAGACACAATAGTAGACACTATTGTCTTCTTCTATGTGGTTAGCCCCTCACCCCACCCCCATCCTTCCCCGGTATATTCGGGATCTAATGCTTGCTTAGTCAAGGGGGATACAGCAGAGAGAGTTTCGTACCTTGTTACTCATCCCTGCAGGCTTCCTCCCCTCCGGTTCTGGTATTCAAGTCCGGTCACATGAAGCCACTCTTCTTCTATGATCATGTGGGTGGTCCTTCACCGGTATCATCACACAACATGCAGGACCCATGGCCACCAATGGTTCTACATTGTAGGTGATGACATCAAGGCCACATTCAAAAATGAGAAGGATCCCCAGCTGCTGCTGAGCCATGGATTGAAGTAAATATTCCTTAGCATAACACCCCATTGGACTAAACGAGCATTACATTGAGAATATACAAGAGGTCCATGATGGAATAATGATATCGGCGATTGGTGGTCCTCTTAAATATATCAGCTGCACCCTTCGAGAAATATAAACTGTCTACATTAAAAATGATCTCAAATTCATAAAGGTGTGGGCGGTTCCCTTCACATGGGTTGTTGTTGGTGGCCTCATGCCGATTCCCTGGAACTCAATACTTGCTAGATATACAGTCATGACCTTACTGGATGGTAAACCTCTACAATGTTGGTGAATAGGAGATCAGTAAAGCCGGAGGATCAGCATGGCAGCCAGGCCGGGCAGAATATTCAGGAGAAGGTCAGCGATGGTGGCACCCATCCAGTGCTCATGTCCGGGTTTTCTGTATTCTTCTTCCGTAGCAGAAGAACATTCCGGGATTTCCCCATCTGTCAGTTCCTTATAATGACTTCTCCGATTATTATTATTATTATGTGAAGGTCGGTTCTTCTTTTCTCAGCGTCACCCAGAGGAGCCTCTGAACAAGCGGACGTGTTTTACACCGAAATTCAGTTCACGCGGGAAGGTTTGTATCTCCGGAGAATAAAAATACGCCAATTGTGGAGTTATCGAAAACCAAGAATGTCATATATTGCAGCCTACCTGTCCTTAGATATGTCTGTACCCCCCGCCCATACCTACCAGTCCTTAGATATGTCTGTACCCCCCGCCCATACCTACCTGTCCTTAGATATGTCTGTACCCCCCGCCCATACCTACCAGTCCTTAGATGTGTCTGCACCCCCCCTCCCCTCCCCCATACCTACCTGTCCTTAGATATGTCTGTACCCCCCGCCCATACCTACCAGTCCTTAGATGTGTCTGCACCCCC